AAGAGGAGATGGAGGGGGGGCAGGAGGGGCTGTGGCATAGAACCGAGAGGCATTAGCAGGATTGCAGGCGGCTGTGGGTCTGCCGTGGGGCCTTGGGCTGAGCTGTGGGGGGACGCGGGTCGGCCCCTCCATGCGCTCTCCTGGTCCGGAGCCAGCTATGGCATCCCCTCTGCACGGGCGCGACGCGCTACCGCGGGGAGTGAGCGGCACAGACTGCGCCGCAGAGAACAGGTGAAGGTTTTGTTTTGTTTTTTGATTGTTGAGAAATTGGCAGATAAAGTTTCCATTGAGGCCTAATTGCTTCTCTGATTGAGCTGTAATAAAAGAACCTTTCCGAACAGTCTGAGTATGTGAAGTGGGGAAATTGCCCTAGGGAGAAGCGACGCGCTACCGCGGGGAGTGAGCGGCACAGACTGCGCCGCAGAGAACAGGTGAAGGTTTTGTTTTGTTTTTTGATTGTTGAGAAATTGGCAGATAAAGTTTCCATTGAGGCCTAATTGCTTCTCTGATTGAGCTGTAATAAAAGAACCTTTCCGAACAGTCTGAGTATGTGAAGTGGGGAAATTGCCCTAGGGAGAAAAGCATTTAGAGACTTCTGGTAAACATCACGCAGGAGCTCGGGGGTGTGGATGGGGGAGATGGCTCCTGGCTTTGCACACTGGGGTTATTGTATTTTTATTGCTTTTTTTTTTTCTTCCTAATCACGCAGGGGCGTTAATTTTTCTGTTGCAAACAGAGCTCCTGTTTATTCATTTACTTGGTGGGAGTTTAACGACGTGGGTTGAGCATTGAAATGTGGTTATGGTGCCTGGTTCACACGGGGCTTTGCACCTGCCGGTCTCAAAGCGCTTCACGAAGGTGGGTCAGTGCCCCTCGTCCTGCTGTGCAGATGGGGAAACTGAGGCACGGAGGGGTGGGACCTGACTTGTCCCCCGCTCACTCAACAGGCCGGGGGCTGAGTGAGGACTTGGGCCCAGGTGGTGGGAGACCCAGTTTAGAGCTCTAACCACTAGGCCACACCACATTTGAATTCCAGCTTTGAATGAAATCTCGCGCTCGGTGTGGATTTTTCGCACCCCATGCTCACACAGTTGAGCCGACTTAATTTCCTCATGTAGGCCGGGCCTGAGACTCACCAGGTCTGCATTTGAGTCTCTGCTCTGTCACTGAGTGGCTTGGGCAAGTCATTTTTCCTCTCCTGCCTCCATCCCCCTCTGGAAAATGGAGAGAGGGAGACAGTGAGTGCTGCAAACTGCAGATAAGTCTCCCCCTTCCCCGGGAACAAGCCCCACAAGAATAAGAAAAGCCGGGGGGGAGGGGAAGGGGGCTGTCTTTTTGGCTTCTCAGCCTCCAGGTTGTGCTGGGGCCCTGTTTTCATCCTTTTCTCCTCTACTCCGAGGGCTGGAAACACTCGCCCAGAAATGGAGAGAGGGAGACAGTGAGTGCTGCAAACTGCAGATAAGTCTCCCCCTTCCCCGGGAACAAGCCCCACAAGAATAAGAAAAGCCGGGGGGGAGGGGAAGGGGGCTGTCTTTTTGGCTTCTCAGCCTCCAGGTTGTGCTGGGGCCCTGTTTTCATCCTTTTCTCCTCTACTCCGAGGGCTGGAAACACTCGCCCAGCCCGTCTCCCGTGACTCCGGAAGCCGGGGCTTTCCGAGTCTGCAGGGAGGCGGAAGAGCTTACGAAGCTCCAG